CAGCCTAGTACACTGTTCTCTTGCTTCTCTTTACCCCTTCCTTCCCTGTTTGTTTCCATCATGCATGCTCTCTAGGATCTGTTTCTTCTATGCCAATGTTCCTTCTCCTATCACCCCAAAGAGAGGAGGAAACATAGCCCACCCATGTTGGATACCAGGTAGGTATTTTTTCCAGGTGAGGCTAATCATGGCAACTCACTTGTTGGCAAGAGTGATATGAGGTATGTAGTAATGACAAGTCAACTGGATGCTTTTTATGGGTTTAAAAAATAAAATTGAATGCCCTTTCCTTTTCCAGGGTAATGCAAATTCATAATGTCTGAGGCTAGGATGAGATTCTGACTGGTGGCATTGATAGACCTGAATGAAGTAGCTAGCCCGGGTGAGAGAGAGAAAGACAGAGAAGCTGGCAGCTTTGGGTCTCCAGCTGCTGAAGTCCCTGAAGGCCAGTCCCACCGTACCATTCTATAAACCAGTGTGTTCCTTCTAGGTTAAGCTCACTGGCGATTGGTTCCTATTCCTTGCAGCTAATACAAAAGACTACCTTCTCTTGGATATCAAACTTCCTGAAGGGATGTCCATCCACCAAGAAAGATGAAAAATAATCTTTGATGAAAATGAAAGCCTCCACTGAGTATATTTTAAAAGAACATATGCAGTGCCTGTCTCGCATTATTGGGTTTCAAACAGTGCAGCCTTCTTCTATGCCTTCAGGACCCTGAAGATCCACTAGGTAGTAGGTCCATTAATCAACTTTCAAGGCAATTTCTCAATCTCTTTCACAAATATTGTGTGGCTATAAAACTAGATATGAATCTCAAAACTGTGATATTCATCCGTATTTGTTCATTGTCCTTCAATATACATATGTGCGAGTTCACGTTTATTCCTCTGGCAGCTCAGTTGTCTCAGCTGTCTCCTAAAGCAATCAGACCAACTGCACCCACAGTTTTATAGGGAACATGGGCCTGGTTCTCATGTTCTCTTGCTTGTTCTCTCTCTCTTTATTTTGTAACATTCAACCACCGTCTACTTATAAACCGTCCAGTCAATGAAAAAACATTAATGGGATCTAACGTTACACTAATTGGAGTAATTAAAAGAAGGCTGAGAGGAGAAGGTGGTAATAGGAGCTAGTTTGGTGCAAGAAAACTCAGCCAGTCAAAATATCAACTCTTCTAATTTCCCCGGATTTTCCCCCTCTCAGATTGAATGCAGTATCTATCCAGAGTATTAAAACAAATATTCAAAGAGAAGCATTCTTTCCAAGCACCCAGCTTCATATATTTCAACAAAGTCTTAATTTCCATACAAATGCCACAATCCGGTAGACTGTGTAATGCAGAGTATAATTCGTGAGGATGAACTGAATTGTTCAGTTGGTTCAATATTAAGAGAGCTGGCTCCATCACATGTGCTTATTTTACAGTAGCTCTTTGCTAAGGGAGAGCACACACTCAGTTCAGGGAAGGATGTGTGCTTGGGTGACAGATTGCCTAGCTTTCCATCTTGGATCCGCTAGCAAAACTAGCTGGTGGCCTTGGGCAAACTGCTTAACCTTGGTGTGCACACTTATGAATAACCACAAGGCATATTATTTTTAAAAGGACTAAATGAGATATATGTGAACCCCTTCACACAGTCAATTCTCAGTCTCCATTAAAGTTTTATTATTGCGATGATCAGAGGTGGAAGGGGTACAGCCTGTGGAGTCAAATAGACCTGCGTTCAAATCTGTCTTTGTCCCCTGCTGGGTGGCTTAGTGTATTTCATTGTTCCACGTGGTTCTAACACCTGTTTCATGGGGCTGGGAGGATACTGCCACATCGGACATGATAACTGGCACGAATTGACTGGTCACAGTTATTATTGTTGTTCTTATTCGGGATTATGGTAGTGAGCTCAGTGTCACGCATGGAGAATTCCATTCCAAAGTGGAGTAGGCTGGAAAGGGGTCAGGATTCTTTTAAGTGATCCGGGGGATCTGCAGTTGAGCTGCACAGGTATTGGGTTCACAGGCATTCCATACCGTTGAGGCTCTTGTGGTCCTGTTTTTTTAATGACACAAATACTCATAGAACCAATTTCAAAATGGGCTCCTGATCACCCTATGCCCAGGAATCCTAGCAACTGTCTGTCCCAAGACCAGGTGATATATAGAGTGGCTTGTCTGGGTAGCAATGAATAGGGAGGGACTTTCCAATGTTGAAAGGCTTTTAGTGTCATCATATTGGGGCATCTTTTGGAAAACTTCCATCCTGGCCATCCATCTGGTTCCCTGATAAATTCTATAGGCATGTTTTACCTACCTTCTGCATCAGTGACTCAATTATTGACCTAATTACCCTAAAAAAAACACCCCTAGAACGGAAGCAGAGTCCCCAAATAGAGTCCTCTTGTACTTACTCATGATGGAGAAATGAAGTCATTAGTAAGTTCGAAGGTAGGGAAAAAGCAGTAAGCCTGTCTTGCTCACTCATTAGTAAGATTTCATTCTAGTCCAAACTGGGGATAATGATGTCATTATTCAAATGATAGACATAGGTTTTAAAATAATCTTGCTGCATGGGTATGCCTTTAGCGATCTCAAATGCTTAAATGTGACCCAGTCTTTTAGATGCAATATGTTTGTTTGGGGAGCATATTTTCTGAGTTTATTTATTGAAATAAAATGAGATAAGAATCAGCTGGGAGAAGCAAGTGATTGGAGATGACACTGCCTAATACACTTGCTCTCAACAGTGGGTGATGTTGCACCCCCACCCCCACCCCCGGGTCCCCGAGGACATCTAAAATGTCTAGACAAATTCTGGTTGCCATAACTGTATGGGAGCTTAGGCTACAGGCACCTGCTGGGTAGAAACCAGTGTTGCTGGTAACCATGGTTTGATGTCAGGGGCAGTCTTGAAAATCAAGGGTAAGCCAGCTCCCAGTGCCAACGAGGCCACGGGAGAGAGACCGTGGACTGACACTGCAGCTGACATCATCATTCCTCACCTTCCTCGTGTCTGTTTGAAGATGCGTTTGAGAATCTCATGTAAGCGTTTCTCCTTCTTGCAGACAATGCACACACCCACACATAGTTAAATATAAACTTGGGGGAGGGTCCTCAGAGCCTCTCTCTTAAGGCTAGCTACAGACTTGAGGCAGAGAGTCCTAATTTTCAGCCAGAGGAATTGTGGTAGTTACATAATTTAGTGTCAATTGGAGGATTGGGAGTGAAAGGGTGGAGTTTAGCCTGTCAATCAAATCACAGCCAAAGAGACCTCTGTGTGGGCATGGCCTTCTCCTGAGGATTCTGGGGACTTTTTTTTTTATCACCTTCAGGGTGGGAGACATACTCTCTCTCTGCTCACTCCCTGAGAGACATCCCTTAGGAGAAGCTGCATGGACCTACCCTGAGGATTCCGGGGACTTTTTTTTTTAATCACCTTCGGGGTGGGAGACATACTCTCTCTCTGCTCACTCCCTGAGAGACATCCCTTAGGAGAAGCTGCATGGACCTACCCTGATGCAGCCAGAGTCTTGGACCTGGAGAAGCCACATGGAGACCCCTGCCAGCGCTGAGATGCTTACAACTCCACTGGATCCACAAGACTTCCCCCCACTGGCCTGTGATCTTCCTGCATTTGGCATCATTGCATGTGTTTCGTGAGTCTGAAGAGGACTTTATAGGTTGGTATTGGACATATGGGCTAATATTGGATTTATGGACTTGATCTGCACTGGGCAGGGATGCTTTCTCAATATTCAATTGCTCTTGTAGATAAGGCTCTTTCTTATACACATACTTGAGTGCCTATGAATTAGTTTCTCTAGTCTACCCAGACTAACACAGGAATTGTCACCACAATTTCAAATTAATGACTCAAGTAAAAAGAAGATGATATAGCAGGTGGCAATATATATTACTCTATTCTACTTTATTTACATATACATGTACATGTCTCTATATATGTATAGATGAATATATATGTATATATATTCTCCCCCAGATAAAAATCCTTCATTGAACTGGGGCTCAGTTTTGGGTAAGTAACTCAAACTTGCTGATTTCCAGTTTTCCCCTCCAGAGTCAACTTGTTGATGCTCGATCCAAACAACCTGGCTATAAATACCAACTTTTTTTATGACAGAGTTAAGCATACAGAGGAATGATTGTGTTCATCCTTTTATCTTACTTTCCCCATTGTACTTAAAACAAACAAACATAATGTCAACATAATGATAAGATAGGCAAGTATCCTCCACCTACTATAAGCCATTGAGTTGACCTTGTGTTCTTTCTAACGATCACAGCAACCGTGCAAGATATCCAGCTACCGTTTCCACTTCAGATATAAGTAAATCTCAACGAGCATAACGAAATTGCTCTAGGCCTCATAACTCTTTAGTTTTGGATTCAAATTCTCCATGCCCCCCTCCTTCTCACCCCGCACCCCGCCATGAGTTCATCAGTGCTTTTGTAAGGGAGGGTTTTGGCTATTTAAGATTCATTGCAGTAGAATGCCACGCTTACACAGGTGGTTAAGAAATATTGATGTGCTGCCCCAAAGTTAAGCAGCAATGCTGCATATAATAACACCAGAGTGAAAAGTGATAAAGAACATCTACTGACTAATTTCCATAGCTTATACCATGGAAGTCCAAAGGGAGTGGAAGCATGTAGCATATTTTTAGTAAGAGGTGATTGCCATGCAGGATAAATAGACCTGTCTTTTCCACATGTGCTCTGGAGAGACAAGGTAGGGACACTCCTATGCGAGGGAACTGATTCCAAGCATCCAATTTCTGGAGCTGGGGAGGGGCTTGGTCTCCCTGACGCTCCCAACTCCACTCTGAGGCTATTCTTCCCGAGCTCCGTCTTCATGGAGAAGTCTGGGCTCATGTGAAGTATGTGGTCCAGGAGAGTTGCGATGTGACCACAGCTCTTTGTATGGAAGCATATTAACTTGCTATTTGGGACTCTGTATTTTTTTTAAGAATGAGAGCAGTAGAAACATCATTTCAGCATCTGGTTCTTAACAGACATCATATCTGGTTGTGGAACAATATGTATGATGTCTGCTAGCGCTTACTGATTGATATACCTCTACCTAGACTCAACACAACTCAGACTCTTTTTCTTACCTTTGGGTACGGACACACATTTTTCTAACACTTCTTAGGAAAACTGGAGTGGAAGTCCACTGCTCTTCTATGACCCAGCCACATGGGAACCTCCATGCGAAGCCTTCCTTGACTTTATACAGCCCTCTCATACCGCTAGGTCATTACCTCTCTATCTTTCTCTTACCTTCCAACTTCGGGAATGAGGATCTTTGTCTCAACTCCTAGCCTGCTTCCTAACCTTTGCCTCAACTCCTAGCCTGCTACCTAACGCAAAATAGATCAGTTATATGTTTTCATTAAGTGAATGAGTAATGATCAATTCTCAAAATCCCAACTATGTAAAACGTGCTGCGTCAAACAAACAAATCCCATACAACCCTTGGGGTCATTTCCTTTAGACTGGCCTTTGTATCAGCCCCCCAAATATTAGTTTCCTATTCCTATTCTTACATCATCACATGAAATGGAGACGCTGCTTACCATTTTCCCAATCATCATCACATACGGGCCCAAGTACTTGTTCACGCCAAAGATGTCCAGTAGACGAATGTACCAATAAATGATATTCACGCAATAGATGACCCTCCCGTCGCTCCTGAAGGGCTGATCTTGGAGACGCAGGATCATGCCGACCGAGAAGAGCAGGATAGCTATCAGATCGGTGACATTCCAGTATTCCTGCAGCCACACCTTCACTTTCTGTAGTAGCTTTCCTGGCTCAGACATCAGAATCTAAGAGGGAGGGAGGGAGGAGAGGAGTTAGGCCTGATAGGTTAGTGGATGTTCTGTTCGTCGACATTCATAGCTTGCATCGAATACTTGTGTCTACTTGAATATGAGAGGGCTCCAAAAGTTCATGGGAAAATTGAATTAAACGACAATGGAATGGTTCCACAAGCTTTCTGAAGCCCTTCTATACTTACATGCTATGAATGGACCACTGAGAAAGCTTCTGCTACTAGGATGTAAATATTCCAGAGGGAGATTGAAGCAGTACCTCCGATCCTTCTATTTCTAAGATATACACGAAGATCTCATAATATTATTGATTTCCAATACCCTATACATTTCCTCTCACATCCTCCTCCATCTCAGTAAAGAGTACCACCACCATATTGAATTACTCAGCACTTCATTCTGCTCTTATGTGCCTCACATCCTCTGTATCAACCAATCCTGTTTCTGAATCTCACCGAATCCACTCACTCCCAACCCCCTGCTGCTGGCATCATAAGCTAAACCCATCTCATCTCAAAGATAATTGCAAAAGTTTCTAATTGGCCTTTGGTCCTTCAGTTTTGCCTACCTGCCCTTAATTCCTCCTCTGAGCAGCACACAAAATGATCCTAAATCTACGACATGATCCACACGGTGATTATTCAGTTGTCTGCATAGATAGAAACTCATTCAGCTGGATCTTTAATTTTGCAACAGTAACTGAGAACTCAGAGCACAGAGAGATTGGATAGATGCAACAGCCACAAAACTAAGGCAGAGGATGCAAGTACCTTCTGAAGCCTTCCACTATAAAGAGAAAAATTCCAAACTCTTTTGCCATGGCCTCTTCTGGCATCCCACCATATTCTCCCTCCTTCGGCACGACAGTCCATTCTATGCCCAGGGCACCTGCACTTGTTGCTTCCTCTGTTAGGCATGTTCTTCTCCTCGATTTTTGTGTAACTTCAAAGACCTCAAAATGTTTCCTTCATAGGAAGGCCTTCCTTAATCACCCTTGCTTCAGTGGCTTCCACACCTCCAAGCCCCTCCTTAACACATTCCCCTGTTTTCTGAAGACTTTAGCACTAGGTAGAATCATCTTCTGTCTGTGTGTACATATAACTAGCCACTCATCCATCCATTTACCGAAACACCTCGTCATTATTTATCACCCGGATATTGCCTATGTCCACTAGCTTGTAAAGTTTGCGGGCAGCCTCTTTGTTCTCAGGGTCTGCTACGTAACAGACAATATGTGCATATCGTCTGACTATTGCAGACACCGGACAGCAGTGCTCCAGTCCCTGCTGTATCCCTGCTGGGTGCGACTCTGACTTACTACCTCGATGAGGCCTTTGTGCCATGACATTGGGTTCTATGAAATGCACAGCTGAACAGTGAAGGGCCACCCCTCATCCGGCCCACAGCCAGAAGAACCAGAGAGACCAGCTTCGTGGGGCTGTGCACCAGGCCATTCTCAGGAGTCCCCTGTGTTTATCCCTGTGAGCTTCCTCTCCTCAAGCCATGACCCTTGCCTTCCACTCAGGATCTCCCATGGGAGAAGACAGAACAGACAGGGACAGGTCTAATCCGTGGTGGTTAATTAGAATCTTCCCTTTTCACTTCACTTTGTCCTAAAACACCGAGGGCAAATTAAACTCAAACCAACCCACTACCCTCAAGTCAGTGTTGACTCAGAGCGACCCTATAGGATCCAGTAGACCCACTGCCTAGCGTCTCCAACACTGCTCGTCCTCATGGGAGCAAATAGCTTCTCCTTTCTCCCCCAGAGTATCTGGTGTGTTCTAACCATTGACCTAGCAGTTAGCAGCTCAACTTGTAATGCACCATGCCATCAGTTAGGCCTGAGCAAGATCCTTGGGGCCATGGTAGCTTCTTTCATCCTTGGTGATGGTCCTCAATGGAGGGACCATCAGAATCTTCTGAGAGCGGGTGACAGCACCAGTTGCTGCCCCGCCCCGCAGGGTTTCTGCTTCAGCAGGTCTGGAGTGGGACCCCAGAACACGCATTTCTAACAAGGTCTGAGGCAACGGGGTTGACCACACTTGGAGGCTCTCTCTTCTAACCATCACACCTCCCTGTAGCGGGTGTTGTCGCGAAGGCTCCCCACCTCTTCATCTTCTCTAGGGATTCCTGAGGGACACCTAGGGAGCGGAGGGCACTGCCCAAGCAGAGCTGCAGCCCATTGCCCAATACGACACACTTGGCTATGACTGTCAAAAGAAGCCTGCCGAGGTGCGGGGGGGTGCCCTGTAATTATTTTTAAGTAATGAAAATCCTTTTGTGGAAGGATAACATCTTTTTAGAAAGGCGATAAAAGTAGGTCAGCCATGGAATGAAGCAGGCTTGAAGAGTGAAGAGCCCCCACGCTCTGGCCCCCCCTCAACTCCGGTGTCAGTTCTCAGGCACCTCTCTCAGCACCCTGGGCTCTAAGCATGTCAGAGCTTGGATCCCACCACCCGTTGCCAGCCACTGGGTTCTGATGCCTGGCAACTCCAGACTTGTGTTTCATGGGGATTTCAATGGCTTATTTTTTGGAAGCAGACTGTCAGAGCTTTCTTCTGAGGCACCTCCTCCCATCACTCATTATCTCACTGCCATCCAGTTGATTCCAATTCACAGCAACCCTGTGCTTTTTCTAGCCTGTAACCATCGTCCTAAAACAGTTTTATCGGCCCCTAACCCACACATCACACAATTCAAACGTTCAATCGTATCAAGAAGAATTGGACAGTCATTACCACAATCAATTTCAGAACATTTTATATCTTGCTTTCATGCCTCCCCCCCCCCATGATTAAATTGCCTTCAAAATAAGGTGTATAATCACAAGACTATAACTCTTTATGGGAACAGAGAGCCTCAACTTTCTCCTTCAGAGGTTGGTGGTTTCAAACTGCCAACCTTGCTGTTATCAGCCCAACTTACAATCCACTTTGCTACTAGGGCTCCTGGTGGGTGTGAACCTCCACTCTTCCCATGAGCACTCGGACCATTTCCACCCTTGGGGACATCACTTGGTGAGGGAGGGAGCAGTGAGTGTTATCTTTCAGTCATTTGGAGACCCAGATCGCCTTCTATCTGATGACTGCTGGTGGTGCTATGGAGTAGGCCTTTGGGCTTTGAACCCCAACGTGAGCAGTTCAAACACACCAGTCCGTCAGAGGGAGAAAAAGGAGGCTTTCTGCCTCTTTGCAGATTGATAGTCTCAGAAACACTATATGAGGTTTGCCATGACCCCAGCCGTGGTATTTTGGATGGCTTGATATGCTTGTGAAAGTTGGATGTTGAATATAGAAGACTGAATTATGGTGCTGGAGAGGAATACTGAAAGGACCATGGACGGACCAAAGAAGAAACGAATCTGTTCTGGAAGAAATACAGCCAGAATGCTCCTTAAGGGCAAGGATGGGGAGACTGTCTCGAGTGCTCTAGACATGCCGGGAGATATCAGACCCGGGAGAAGGACAGCGTGCTTGGTAAAGCGGAGGATACAGCGAAGGCGAGGAAGGCCCTTGCAAAGATGGTTTGGCACAACGGCTGTAACAACGCGATGGCACACAAAAACAATCTCGTGGCTGGGGCAGGACCAGCCACGGCGTGGCTCTGTTGTACACCAGGCTGCTGTGAGTCAGATCCGCCTCGACGGCACCTAACAGGAAACCACTGGGCAGGCAGTCGGTTGGCCCTCTTTCTAGCTGTGGGGCACAGGGCGATGGTTTCCTCTTTGTTTGCACACCTGTGAAATGGGGGCGTGGTCACAGCCAGACCACGGAACCCACTCACTGTGGGAAGGAGGATCCAGATGAGATCACGTCTCCCGGAGGGTGTGATGGGGCAGCTCTGCTCCAGAGGCAGACGCCAGACTTTGAAGGTGCTCCGCTCCTCTCAGCTTCCTGGGAAGCAAGGACTCTTGGACTGACCCTGCCCTGACCCCAGCCTCCAGTGCCCTGCCCTCTGGGCGATTCGATGCTGCCTTAGAAGAAATGAATACCCAAGGCTGGGGCTCCTGGCAGCCTGCCTGTCTGGCAAGCTCTCCCAGAACAATCCGAGGAGTACAGACTGCTCCTTGTCTCCCTCCAGTCGAGTCCCTGGAGAGCGTCCAGCCTTCCTGCTTCAGTTTTTCCCTTTTCTGCTTATCCTGGGGAAGGGAGATGCATGCGGGCATTAAGTCACCAGGCAGCAAGAGCTGACATGTTCCCCCACAAAGCCTCTGGCAGGACCAAGGCTCCGGGCTCCAGAGGCTGTAGCAAATTCATCACTGTGCTGCAGTTTACACCGGGGAATCCATTCTAATGGCCAAGAAGGAGGTAGCATGATGAATGAAGCGACCTACATGTAGA